CAAGTTAGTTTATGCATTCAAAACTGTTATTCTTGTTCAACTTATATTTGTTTCCCTAACCTTCTCCATATTTTAATTAAGAGTGACAAACGAGCACACATCCCACTATGGTAAGTGGATGCTGTCTACACTATGGTAAGTGGTTCTGTGACCCACTGACATCCCTTTCAAATTCATCGTCTTCGATAAAGAATCAAAATAGATTGTTGAAATTTGGACTTTAAAAAAACAGAATATTAACAATGCTACAAACATTACTAATATTTCCCTTAACCACTCGTGGTAAGCTTAAATTGCTTGTGTTACGAGTGGTTCACGCCAGTAGTCGAATGGTGGATTCGAACCCACAACCTTTTTGAGTTCGCGGTCCGCGCCCTGCCATTAGGCTACTGTCGCTTGAAACGCTTGACTTAGATGGAACCCCTCGATAGTTAAATTATTCTGGTTCTTACACTCAATATAAAACACAGTAGCATCGTGCTGCTATTTTTGCTAATATTCTGATTATATTCATTTTAAAACTTATGCATTTTTTGAACACGAATTTTATGTAAAACATATTTCTTTAAATATAGGATAAGTGAGCACACAGCCCACCTGATGGTAAGTGAGTGCCTATACCTATCCTACCTAATGCCGCCGGCATTAGATTGTGCATATAAATCAAGTACAGCAGTGTTTAAATATTTATCCTAAAAACTTTTTTAAAAGAAAATTAATATATAAACTAGACACGTCTTCTTAAATGTATTAAGAATAGTGATGCAAAAGAACTCTGTTTCTGTTTTCGCAACTGCGGAAGTTCTGAATGGTTTTTAACATCCGTTTCTGCTTCTGTTTCCGCAAGTTTTATAACGGAAGTTTGAACGGAACTCAGCGACGTTGCCACATAAGTAGATAAATGATAATGATATTTACAGCTATAATTTTGAAAATTCGATAGAGGGACAGCAATTTAGAAGCATTTATTTAAAAACAAAAATTTTGCTCAAATTAATAAAATACTTAGTTAATAGGTATTCATGACATCTGATATTTGATATTTACGCGAAAACTAATTTTACGGATATTATCGTGTGTAAATTTGCGACTAAATCCATGAAATTAGCTTTATTCAATACTTTTTTAAGGTAACATCTTGAAATTACGTGCCTACACGGTGATAAAAAAATACCTTTTTCAAATTGAAAATTCGAATTTTTAACTTCACATCTGTACTTGGGTAATAAAGGCTTGGGTTCAATGCGGTGTCCACATTTGTTTGTCCACATGTGCAAGTTGGTAAGGTTTCGTTCTTCGTAATATTAAATATCTGTGTAATAGAGATTTAAAAAATGTGGGTGATTTGATTCATAGCAAGCCGGAACCGAGTGCTTGTTTGTGGCATTCGCGTGAAAGCACGCACGTACGTACACACACAATCGGGCTCATGGATTAATATGGGTACTATCTATACGTGTACCTATCTGACTAAATTCTTACACGGATGTTTTGGTTCCTCCTCGCGAATCAAAAGATCGAATATCCAGTTAGTAATCTTAGTAAAATTACCAGAAGGTAGTGGATGTCCATGATCTGAATGACAATCCGTATAGACTTTTCGTACCGGATGGTTACCATCGCAGCAGGAAGCACAAACTTTTTACTCCGACATTGAACTCTCGACTCATTCAATGTTCACTTGGATGCTGTACCCCACTACGATCTGTTTGATGGTGAAGGGAAGTTAGAAAAAAAGTAGAAAAATAATTTTGGCAGAGTGCTTGCAGTATTGTAAGATGAACAATGTTTACTGTTACTTTATATTATTTGACATTTGGATAAATTTGTATATTGTACTTAATTTAATTTTGTTCTGTGCTAAATTATTGAGTGTAAATCGGTTTTATCCATCACCTATTACAGCATATGAAAAGTCTACTTGCTAAAATTGCCACGTGTAGCAAACGAGTTGGCAACCGCAGTTTTAGTTATTTTGATCTATTATCAGGAAGACGCAGCTGTTTATCTTCTATTTCATTTCATTCTATCCCCTCGATTCCCACGGGATGCTATGGAGTGGATTCTCTTACGCCGCTACTAAAGGACACTATAATTATTTGGTTACAGTTTTATTGGTTAACCCCTAGTAATTAATAAAAATAAATTAATCTATACATACAACTATAAAATTTAAAAACTATAATTATTATTATATTAATATTAATTATTATTATAGGGGTATATGTATAGTTTTCTCATCTGGTTTTTTTTCTATAAATATATAATTATAAATTAAAATGAAAAGATAAATATACATAAAAATCAATAAAATAAAATAAATACAAAAAATACACAAATAAATATAGATCCAACCAGATGGAAGCCCTCGGCAGAGGAGACCAAACGGCCGAGGGTTAGGAGGAAAAGGAAAGAAACCGACGGACGATGCGGGTGGTATCGAAGACCACTGCCTTCTGCATTTGAGCCCGGAGCGGTCCGTCACGGAGTCCCAGCCGCCTCAGATGACCCGAGAGGCTGACTGGGATTAGTCCGTTTACAGAGACGACTACAGGAATAATTTCGGTCGGCCGACCACCCCACATGTCGGTCACCTCGTAAGCCAGGTACAGATATTTTGTTCGCTTATCTGTTTCGGCTTTCACGAGGTTCTCGTCATACGGAATGGTAATGTCGACCAAAAATATCCTTCCGGTCCATCAGTACAATATCAGGCTTATTAGCAAGAATAGTCCTGTCTGTGATGATGGCCCGGTCCCAGTAGAGCCTGGCGCGGTCATTTTCGAGACCGTATTTCAGAGCGAGCTCCTGGTATAGAATTCTGGCTACTAGGTTGTGCCTGTACAAGTACTCAGAGTTAGAAAGCGCCGAACAACCGGAGATGACATGCCTAAGTGACTTCCCGGGATGGCGACAAGCACGACAGACGTCGACGGTGCCATCCTTTAGGATGTATCTCCGATAGTTGTTGGTCTTAATAACCTGATCTTGTATTGCACAGACAAAACCCTCGGTTTCCCCGAAGAGGTCAGCGAAACGTAGCCAGTTGAGGGAGGCGACTGTATCGACGAAGGGCTCATGTAGAGCCTTGTAGTACCGTTGGAGCTCCTTCTCCTTCCATACGATCTCCCGGCCGGAAAGTACTGCTGGGTCCTGCCATTGCTCGTTGGCTAAGGATAGAGGGGTAAGCCCTTTATCACTAGAAATGACGTCATTATAGAATGGATCATCCGATCTCGTCAAGAAGTATTGACGGAGACTGCACACTTCGCGATTATGCATGGTGAGCGCGCTCAGAAAGCCACGCCCACCGTGCTTTCGCGGCAAGTACAGCTTCATTACCGACGATCTCGGATGATGCATCCTATGGGACGTCATGGTAATGCGGACTTTTCTATCCAGGGCGTTAAGCTCAGTCTGAGTCCACCTGAGTATGCCAAAGGTATACATGAGGACAGGCATGACCCAGCGGTTATATGCGTGTGACTTATTCACACCGGACAAAAGGCTGTTAAGCACTTTGGTCAAGCGTGCATAAAACACGTCGCGAACTGACTGTTTCATACCAGCTTCATCGATACCGATGTTCTGTGACATACCCAGGTATCGGTATGTTTCAGCCTCGGAAAGAGTCCTTAAGTTGACGGGCATAGACTTGTCTAGTCTTTAGTTAGTAGACTTTGTCAGAGTTAGCAACCCTTCCCCTTTCAACATGGTGGACCGCACACTTATCCGTCCCCAGCTCCATTTCAATGAAATTGCTAAATTCACAAGTGATGTTTAGCAGTTCCATAAGATGGGAGCAACTGGAGGCGAATAACTTGAGGTCGTCCATATAGAAAAGGTGGGTCACTTTTGTCCCTCCTTTCCGTAGCTGAAATCCCCTCCCGGAGCCCTCCAGTAAGGTACTGATAGAGTTCAGAGAGAGGCAGAACCAGATTGGACTCAGACAATCACCCTGGAAGATACACCTTCTTATCCTTATGTGGTTCTCCGCAGCCATCATCCGCTCGCCCAGATGACAAAGGATCTTACTTCACTGCCCCATACACTGCCCGAGGAAGTCTCGAACTGTACACTACAATACTACACACTACTACTTGTACAGCTCGAGGACCCTCTTTAGCCATGTATGGGGCACCGAGTCGAACGCCTTTCTCTAGTTTATCCAGGCGACAGAGAAGTTCCGACGGTAGCGTTTCACCACTTTGCCTATGATCACGTTAATGAGGATTGGTTCCTTGGTTCCACGACCACCGCCCCGACATCCATTTTGAGCGTGACATCACCTGGTTTAGCTCCAGGTGACGAGTGATTCTCGCGCTCAAAATGGATGTCAGTGTCTTATATATGATGAGTAGACACGTGATGGGGCGGTATTTGCTCGGGTCTGTGGTATCCGGATCTTAAGGAAACAAGTGAGTGATCCCAGTAGTGAAGAGGCTCGGGAGCGACTTCTGGTCGAGAGCCTCTTGAAACTGTCGGGCGAGCACAGCGTGACACGCTATTAACCCCTTCAGCCAGTAATGATGCAGCCCGTTGAGCCCCGGACTTTTCCAGCCCTACGGACCGCCTCAGCCACGTATTCCGGCGTTATGGTGATGGGGTCCATAGGCGTAACACTCGCACCCTGGCTTGCCACAACTTCCATCCAAGGGCCCTTGCTGTGGTTTACGGGATCTGATCACAGGCCACGCCAGAATGCGATAATGTCAGCCTGATCCGTTCCTTGGCCCGCTCCACATACTTTTGGTCGCTCCAATGATTTATAGAGCCTCTTCTGATCACTCTGGAAGAGACGATTCTGGTTGAACCGCCTTGACCTCTCGGTAAATCGTCGAATCCGCTTCCTCCAAGCAGCGATCTTTTGCTTCAGGTCGTCTATGCGCTCCGTTAGTTTCTGCGTGATATCCGGCTGGGACAAACTGATATTTGTCCAGCAAACGCCATCCTAACGGTGCGCACAATCTTCAGTCTATTATTACCCGACCTGAAGCTTGTCAGTCTGCCGATAAGGGCCCTTGCCTTTGCGATACGGTCCTCGATTCTTTTTCTCCAGGCTGGGATGGCGCTACTTTGTTTAGTAGCGCGTCCAGCCATGGGAAGTCACTGCGGCGCCAAAGAGAATTGAGTCCGTCTCGCAAAGGTACCGGCTGGCTTCCAAATGTCACCAGCATTGGGTTAAGAGCCCTCACAACAGCCCGATTTCGCTTGCTTAGGGGTATGCGGGGAAGTCGCGGTCGATTTTCGAGAGGGGTGCTGCGCGTTTCCAAAATCGCCTCTTCCAATATACTCCTCATTTGCTTTAGTTCGTGGGAGACTATTTCATCGTCGTTCGAATCAACCACAATTGGAAGATCCATGGCGGCTTCCACGTGTGGATGCTGGTCTGTCGGATGTGGAGCTGCATCTCCAGCCATAGCCGATTCATTCGACGATGGAATAGCCTCACGTCGTTCGAGTTCGGCATCAACAAATATTTTCGAGCGCATGATGTAGCGAACTCGGTCTGCCAGGTTTTGTTCCGTGACGGGGATAGAAGGCTCCAGCTCAGCAAAGAAGCACTGCATCCGAGCCCTATACGCTATTCCCACAGTTTCTTCCCCTTTCGCCCTATTGTACGCCCACAATGCGTTTTCGTTCATAGATTTTGTCCAACGCATGCGACGTGCTCCACTAGCGGCGGGTGTCGCTTGCTGAGTCCGAGAAGACCCAGCCGACACCAAGCCTTCTGGTGGGGATGATGGATGCGAGGGGCTGTTAGGTGATCGTGCAGCTCCTCGCGCATGGCTGGCGCCCGCATGCTGCCGCGTCCAGCGCCAGCTCCAGACGCGCCCCGGCGACCCCCAGGCAGCGGCCCTATGCGCGTTCCTTTCTGTGCCATCATCCATTTTATGGGTGCCAAATAACGGGAGACGCCCAAGCCCGGCACCGTTTCGTGGTTGGGTCATATGCACAAACGGACCTTTGCACTCACAATTTTGCCTAGGCACGGCGCTCACACCTCTTGGCAGGATGCTGAATGACTGCGCCGACGTAGCAGTTTTATCACATAACTGTTACGTCAGCGGGCGATGGGGTCGCCACTTCCCTACGCCTTTTTAACTAATTATTATTATTGTGGGATATCAACATAGTTTTCTCATCTGGTTCTATAAATATATAATTATAAATGAAAATGAAAAGATAAATATACATAAATATCAATAACATAAACTAAATATAAAAATAAATAAAAGCCCAACCAGATGGAGGCCCTCGGCAGGGGAGACCAAACGGCCGAGGGTTAGGGGGAAAGGGAAAGAAACCGGCGGACGGTGCGGGCGGTATCGAGGAGCACCGCCTTCTGCATTTGAGCCTGGAGCGGTCCGCCACGTAGTCCCAGCCGCCTCAGATGACCCGAGAGGCTGACTGGGATTAGTCCGTTCACAGAGACGACTACAGGAATAATTTCGGTCGGCAGACCACCCCACATGTCGGTCACCTCGTGAGCCAGGTCCAGATATTTTGTTTGCTTATCTGTTTCAGCTTTCACGAGGTTCTCGTCATACGGAATGCTAATGTCGACCAAAAATATCCTTGACTGTGCCCGGTCCATAAGCACAATATCAGGCTTATTCGCAAGAATAGTCCTGTCTGTGATGATGGCCCGGTCCCAATAGAGCCTGGAGCGATCATTTTCGAGCACGGCTTCCGGCAAGTACTTGTAATATGGCAATTTCTGATCCACGAGACCGTATTTCAGAGCGAGCTCCAGGTGAAGAATTCTGGCTACTAGGTTGTGCCTGTGCAAGTACTCAGAGTTAGAAAGCGCCGAACAACTGGAGATGACATGCCTAAGTGACTCACCGGTATGGCGACAAGCTCGACAGATGTCGACGGTGCCATTCTTTAGGATGTATCTCCGATAGTTGTTGGTCTTAATAACCTGATCCTGTATTGCACAGACAAAACCCTCGAAGAGATCGCCAAAGCGTAGCCAGTTGAGGGAGGCTACTGTGTCTACGAAAGGCTCATGTAGAGCCTTGTAGAACCTCCCGTGGAGATCCTTCTCCTTCCATACGGTCTCCCGGTCGGAAATACTCTGCACTGTCGGGTCTTGCCATTGCTCGTTGGCTAAGGATAGAAGGGTAAGTCCTTTATCACAAGAAATGACGTCCTTATAAATTGGATCATCCGATCTCGCTAGGAAGTAATCACGGGGGCTGCACACTTCGCAATTATGCATGGTGAACGCGCTCAAGAAGCCACGACCAACATGCTTCCGCGGCAATTACAGCCTCATTACCGACGATCTCGGATGATGCATCCTATGGGACGTCATGGTAGTGCGGATTTTTCTATCCAGGGCGTTAAGTTCAGTCTGAGTCCACCTGAGTATGCCAAAGGTATACATGAGGACAAGCATGACGCAGCCATTATATGCGTGTGCCTTATTCACACCGGACAAAAGGCTGTTAAGCACTTTGGTCAAGCGTGCATAAAACACGTCGCAAACTGACTGTTTCATACCAGTCTTATCGATACCGATGTTTTGTGACATACCCAGGTATCGGTATGTTTCAGCCTCGGAAAGGGTTCTTAAGTTGACGGGCATAGATAAGTCTATGCCCTCAGAGTTAGCAACCCTTCCCCTTTCAACATGGAGGACCGCACACTTATCCGTCCCCAGCTCCATTCCAATGGAATTGCATTCACAAGTGATGTTTAGCAATTCCATAAGATGGGAGCGACTGGAGGCGAATAACTTGAGGTGATCCATATAGAAAAGGTGGGTCACTTTTGTCCCTCCTTTCCGTAGCTGAAATCCCCTACCGGAGCCCTCCAGTAAGGTACTGAGAGGGTTCAGAGAGAGGCAGAACCAGATTGGACTCAGACAATCGCCCTGGAAGATACCCCTTCTTATCCTTATGTGGTTCTCCGCAGCCATCCTCCGTTCGCCTAGATGACAAAGGATCGTATTCCACTGCCCCATACACTGCTCGTGGAAGTCTCTAACTGTACAGTCTATCTTGTACAGCTCGAGGACTCTCTTTAGCCATGTATGGGGCACCGAGTCGAATGCCTTTCTGTAGTCTATCCAGGCGGCGGAGAAGTTCCGACGGTTGCGTTTCACCACTTTGCCATTGACCGCGTCAATGAGGAGTGGTTCCTTGGTTCCACGACCACCGCCCCAACATCCATTTTGAGCGCGCGACATCACCTGATTTGAGTCCAGGTGACGAGTGATTCTCGCGCTCAAAATGGATGTTAGTGTACTGTATATGGTCGGTAGACACGTGAGGGGGCGGTATTTGCTCGGGTCTGTGGTACCCTGGACTTTAGGAAGCAAATGAGTGATCCCAGTAGTGAAGAGGCTTGGGAGCGATTTCTGGTTGAGAGCCTCTTGAAACTGTCGGGCGAGCACAGAGTGACACACCATGAACCTCTTCAGCCAGTAATGATGCAGCCCGTCAAGCCCCGGACTTTTCCAGTTCGGGGCCCTACGGATCGCCTCAGCTACGTCATCCGGTGTTATGATGACGGGGTCCATGGGCGTAATACCCGCACACTGACTCGCCACAACTTCCGTCCAAGGGCCCTCGCTGTGTTTTACGGGCTCTGACCACAGGCCGCGCCAGATTGCTACAGTGTCGGCCTGATTCGCTGCTGGGCCCGTTCCACTTACTATTGGTCGCTCCAATGATGCATAGAGCCTCTTCTGATCACTCTGGAAGAGACGATTCTGGTTGAACCGTGTCGACCTCTCGGTATATCGCCGAATCCGCTTTCCCCAAGCAGCGATTCTTTGCTTCAGATCATCTATGCGCTCCGTCAGTTTTTGCGTTATATCCGGCTGGGACAAACTGACATTTGTTCCAGCAAACGCCATCCTGACGGTGCGCACAATTTTTGGCATGTTATTGCCTGATCTAAAGCATATCAGTCTGCCGATGAGAGCTCTAGCCTTTGCGATACGTTCCTCAATTCTTCTTCTCCATGCTGGGATAGCGCTACTATGGCCAGTAGCGCGTCCAGCCGTGGAAACCTTGGCGCCTATTATACGGCAGACTGCCAGGCGCCAAAAAGAATTGAGTCCGTCTCGCAAAGGTCCCGGTTGGCTTCAAAATAGGTCACCAGCATTGGGTTCAGAGCCCTCACGACAGCCCGATTCCGCTTGCTTAGGGCTATGCGGGGAAGTCGCGGTCGATTTTCGAGAGGCGTACTGCGCGTTTCCACAATCGTCTCTTCCAATGTACTCCTCATATGCTCTAATTCCAGTTCCTGGGCGACTGTTCCATCATCGTTTGAATCAACCACAACTGGGGTATTCACGGCGGCATCCACGTTTGCGGGTTGCTCTATCATTTGTGGCGCTGCATCCTCAGTCGTAGCATTTTCATCCGATGAGGGAACAGGCTCACGTCGTAGCCGTTCGAGTTCGGCGACATCAAATATATTTGAGCGCAAGATATACCGAACTCGGTCTGCCAGGTTTTGCTCTGTGACGGTTAAAGATGGCTCCAGCTCAGCAAAAAGACGATGCATCCTAGCCCGGTACGCCAAACATCCAGTTTCTTCCCCTTTTGCCCTAAAGTACGCCCGCAGTGCGTTTGTATTCATTGCTTGTGACCAACGCATGCGCCGTGCTCCACCAGTGGCGGGTGCCGCTTGCTGAGTCCGAGAAGACCCAGCCGACACCAAGCCTTCTAGTGGGGATGATGGATGCGGAGGGCTGCTAGGTGACCGTGCAGCTCTTCTTATGCATCATCCATTATTTGGGCGTCCATTAACGGGAGACGCCCAGGCCCGGCACCGTATCGTGTATGGCCAAAAGCACAAACGGGCCTTTGCATCCTAAATTCTGCCGAGGCACGGCGCTCACACCTCTCGCAAGGCGCTGACTGACTGCGTTGACGTAGCAGTTTTGTCACTTAACTGTTACGTCAGCGGGCGCTGGGGTCGTCAATTCCCTACGCCATTTTATTATTATGATTATTCTTTATTTCAGAAATTTCTTTCCATAGAGTGGGTTGGTAATTACAAAAAGAACTTATAAGCTAGGGTTAATACCCACGGGATGCTGTGGAGTTGATTCTCTTACGCCGCTACTAAAGGACACTATAATTATTTGGTTACAGTTTTATTGGTTAACCCCTAGTAATTAATAAAAATAAATTAATCTATACATACAACTAAAAAATTTAAAAACTGTAATTATTATTATATTAATATTAATTATTATTATTATTATGATTATTCTTTATTTCAGAAATTTCTTTCCATAGAGTGGGTTGGTAATTACAAAAAGAACTTAAAAGCTAGGTTTAGTAAATAAATAAAATTTAAAAGGTTACATACTATATTACTATACTCTATCTACTTTATATTTACCAGACTGCCTCATTGGTCTAGTGGTTGTAGTAGTGCGACTGCTGATCATGAGGTCCTGGGTTCGAATCCCGAGTCGGGCAAAAAAATCAATTATTGAGTTTTTCTGTTAAGAAATTCTCAGTAGCTGCCCGGAGTCAGGAAGTTGGCGGTGTCTCACCCCCGTGCCTCAGAAAGCAAGTAAAGCCGTTGGTCCTGCGCCTGATCTCTCTCCGGTCGTGTCGGTGTACCGTCCCATCGGATTATGAGAGTGAGGGAATAGAGAGTGCACCTGTCCTTGCGCATACAATTGGGCACTATAATCCTGTCCTGCGCCGATGGCTAGCCTGTGTAGGCCGCTGTGGCCAAAATTCGGTCTGGAGGACATTATTATGATTATATTTACCAGAGCAGGTTTTGAGCCGATATAGACGCTGTTCCAGTGCCTCAAGATAGGACAGCAATAGCGACTACTATCGCCGCCAGGAGGCTGTCGGAGCTATCTCGGACACTGCGCTATGCGGAGGCAACCCGTTTGCGCATGATAGCTAGGAAACTGTCTATGCAAGCCTCAGCAAACATTGCCGACGCACTGCAGTACCGAGGCAGCCGCATCGGCATCCTGAAGCCGTTATTATATTGAACGTGCAGGGTTGTGAGTGTCCTTTGTGTATACTCAACCCATAGACTGCAGGTGTAAAAGGACTGACAATAGGCTCTGAATAGAGTTTGTTTAACTTCTATATTACACCCTGTAAATCTATGGGCGAGCATATTTGCTCTCATAGCTAGAGCCCTGCGTTCCCTCTCTATGTCAATATCATCTGACATATTTTCAGTAACCCAGCGTCCCAGGTATTTGAATCTTGTGACTCTTTTCAGTGGTACACCTTCAACGGCGACAGTGGAAAAATTGTAGCTCTTATATTTTGATTTAAAAAATACGATCTCACTTCTCTTGACATTATATCGTAGGCCGTGAGCCGTTGCATACTTCTCACAGATACTGAGTAGTTTTCTTAGACCACTAATTGATGGGCTCAGCAGCACCATATATTCGGCGTTGTTATATGCAATATTATCAATCGGAGCAGCCGACTCCACTACCACCGAGTTCATCAATCAGACTGTTCACGTAGAGGTTAAAAAGTGCAGAAGATAGGCCGCCCTGTCTTACTCCGCACTACAGCCCATACGCCTCAGCTCGCATCCTCCTCCTCCATCCTCTACCTCACCTGATTTTGTTGAATGTAGTACCAATACTGAAACAGACCTATTAAGACATTAGGAAAGTCATTAGTTTCAGTAGCCAGCTTCTTCCAAAGTATATCGTATTTTACCGTATCAAAGGCCTTTGATAGGTCCAAAAAGCAGCCTATAACAGGTGTCCTACGATTTTTGTAGTAACGTACGGTGTGCTTGAGACAAAGTACAGCACTTTCTGTAGATAACTGCGGTCTAAAATCAAATTGGGCATCACACAGATTAATGGGTGCCTGAAATTCCTCTCAAGCAGACTGTCCATCACTTTCGCTATAGTAGTATCCAGGGAGATAGGTCTATAATTGTTTTTGTCCGACGAATCTCCTGTTTTATTTTTCAGTACTGGCACAACAATCGTTTTCATAATATCAGAAGGTTAGTACGAGTGTCCTATGCAAAAAGTAAATAACATGGCCGGGACATGTGGAAGTTGGACACCAGCATATAGCAGGTGTTCGATACTGATACTGTCATGACCTGGAGATTTACCGCGTGTCATGTTTTTAATTACGTCTTTAACATGTTTAGCCGTAAAGCACGTCGTTTCATCTCCATCCCGGATACCTGTATCGAAATTCCGATTCCGAAAAGCGATGATTATTTATTGGCATACTTAAAGTGATTTTTGAAAATATTTAATTTTATTCCACCTTGCCCGCATTACTTTCACCATCTATACTCGCAGGGACTCTCAGCTGGATCATTTTGTTGGTTTGTTTAGCAACCACTACCCTTTCGATCCGGGGAGATAGTCGCTCGAAATGTTCCTCAAAGCCACAGCGACTGTCCAGGTGGAGGACTAGGTACTTCATGTAACTCCTCACTCTGACTACAGGGCCACCCACGCGGACGCATGAGTCGGGTGGCTCTCTGCCCTGTGGTAATTTGTGGAACCATAAGGCCTTGGTCTTGTTAAGCGCTATTTCTACACACAACTCGTGGATTTTGGCGACAACGACTTTCACTCTAAGCTCGGCGAGCTCCTTGACTTACTTGAAAGTTATCCCGCTGATGATCACTAATGAGTCGTTGGCACAACACACGGTATTTACGCCATCAGGAAGGTCAAATCACAGAACCGCATCATACTCGAGGTTCCACAGTAGTGGATTCAGCACCAAGCCCTGTGTGACTGAACCCTACGATTGATCTCCCTCCAAATCTTCCTACTATCTTGTCTCATGTACAGGATGTACATGAGACAAGATTTGCAAATAGTCCCCGATAATACCTTGCAGGTAGAGGGACGCCATATGATGTGCCAGTGCCCTGCTGATTGCATCCCAGGGTGGAGAATCAAAGGCATTGATTATATCAAGTCTAATCGCCAACACCACACTACCCTGGAATACTGTTGGATCCAACAAGGAGTGGACGCGCATAATCGCATCTATACGTGTTCCGGATTTTAAGCGGCATTTGTTCTCGAAACCGCAAGCGGAGCGCACGGAGCTGTGCGATTTCTGCTGATCACTAGTACACTGCTCTGCGCTTGAGGTGACTGGTTCTGGGCGTCGACAGGTTACAAATTTGCGCCATAGTACCTCGAAATAATTTCGCTTCTTCTTTATGATCGCACTGAACCCCTTCAGCATTTTCTGGCCAGAACGCGACATTGGCGGCGGCTTCTAGCTTTTCTTGGTCAAGCCGCTTGAGATTTATTTTGTACTGTCTTTTTATCAAAACACTTTATATACTTCTGCATTATCTGTTCCTTATTATTTAAATATACTTGATTTGCTTTTAAACCTATTGTTTTATGCACACTATCAGTATATTATGTTTCTATTAATTTCGAAATAATGTTGCGTCTATACAAAAGATAGTTTCCTTTTAAACTAAAATGTCTATACATAATACTTTTACCAACGCCACGGCGAGCTGCTCTCTCGTCGACTGGAGTAACTATCGTGCCGACGGCGTCGTCGAGGTCTCTCAGTCAAACATGACTCGTTTTATAACTTGCCGATTGATTCGCATGATTAGATCTGAGGGAACCTCACGCATTTTGGCCGCCAGCTGGTCCGCCTTCGCACTGCAATCCGGACCTCTAATTTTAAGCAGGAATCTTCAGGTTACCGCCCGTTTCTGACGGACTGTTTTGATACCAAAATCTGCCAAGTATATAGGATAGGATCTTTGCCACCTTTATTACTTTTGAATAAGTAACGGAGGACCTTTTTGACACCGTAATTGTATAGTACATCCAATGTTTTTTTTTTTGTTTTTTTTTGCCTCCTTTTCGGAGAACTGGAAGTTGATGCTATCGTGGCGATCCGCTTTTCGGTGGTTCTTGAGTTTTTGAGCTTTTTAACCACTTCTACCTACGAACTGGCATTGGGCGGTCCAACGGTTTATACGATACCGTCCCAGCAAAAGGGAGAAGATCGACCAACGGTTGGAAGGCAGACTTCTTTTTCTTCTTTGACCTTTACCTTTCCGTTTTCTACGGCTGCGACGATAGAGCTAATTGCAAAGGTGGTGATGGCCGTTGAGGTAGCGATAACAACGAATGCGGCGAATGTGTCCGCGGCTGACTCGCACTTGCCAGTGGAGGTCGGATGAACCTATCTAGAAATATCTTCGCCTCAAATATAGCTAGCTTTTCTTCGATCAGCCTAAAAACTAGTTTAAAAATGAGTAAAAAAATATTAATTTGTAAAAGTTAGTGATTATAATATATTCATTGAGTACTATTAACGTGAAAACACGTCAATATAACGACGTCACAGACCTGGCAGCCATTCGTAGAGCGATTTATGATCACCTTATATTTTTAAAATTTTAAAGTAGGTATAAAATGTTTAACTAAATTATACATAACATAAACATAAACACTCACGCCTGTCACCCAGAAGGGTAGGCAGAGACTACAGACTTCCATTTAGCACGATCCTGACATACCTCTCTCGCCTCTTCCACATCCATATACCTACGCATACATGCTCGTCGGTTAAGGGTACTCTTAATTTGGCCGACAAACTTCCGCCTAGGACGTCCCTTTCCGACTCTTCCATTCACTTCTGCAACATGTATTTGCTTTGTCAGTCTTTCCGCATTCATTCTTTCTACATGACCAAACCACCAAAGCATTCCTTTCTTAATCCTGGTCACTGCATCATCTTGCAAACCACACTCTTCTTTTATTACACAGTTTCTCACCCTGTCACTCAGATTCAGCCCTAACATACTCCTTAGCGACCGCATTTCTACTGCATTTATTCTACTCTCGTGCTTCTTCTGCCACACCCAACTTTCACTACCATACGTTAAAGTAGGAACTAATACAGCACTGTTAATTGCCATACGTGCCTTTTTGACACATTCTGACTTTTCACAATAGAGTGTAGAGCCCCATTTACTTTATTTCCTGCATTCACCCGTCGTTCAATATCCTTATCATATCTCCCATCCCTGAAAGCTGAATACACATCCCAAATATAAGAACTCATTCACTTGCTCAATTAAATCTCATTCTATTCTTATTTCACATACCGTTTTGTTCCAAATTTTTTCATCCCAAATTTTTTCTTCAGTTTCTTTTATAACTCTTTCAATTAGAACCTTAGCATACAGTTTTCCTACAATGCTAAGAAGGCTGATACCACGGTAGTTTTTACAGTCCTGCTGTGATCCTTTTCCATTATATATTGGGACTATCACGGCTTTGCACCTGCCTCCCGGTACCCGCTTTAGTTCCCAACATAAGTTAAACAAGGTGTAAAGCAGGCCTGCCACCACGTCCTCTCCAGCTCCTAGCATTTCGAGTGAAACTCTATCATATCCGGCTGCCTTACCTACTTTCATGCTTTTCATTGCTTTCATTATTTAATCTATACTTATCTCCCTATCTCTTTCATCTTCTTTCGGAATTTCTATTTCATTTAGTTCACACGTCTCCTCACTCATAAATACGCTTTCAAAATATTTCTTCCATCTCTTTAGACTCAACACTTTATGTACGGTGCAACACCGTGCATTCTCCCGCGTCAGCATTTTAGTAATTTGACACTATACGCGACTGACCTCATTCAATAATATTTTATTTTTGAGTGTGTTTGTGTTTGCCTACCAATACGGTCGCGTGCCTCAATTTTATATTTTTACCGAGTTTCGTGTATTGTGAAATCGCAATAAATCATTGTTTTTCTCAAGATGGTGTTTAAATAATTCATCATCAGATCAAGTAAAAGGTGTGTGGTATACCAAGACCAAACATCTTTATGGTCCTTCGAGGAAACTGATCAGTGTTTTGTGGATCTCAAGTGTAGTGCGATCGGTTCGGTTGGCCTCCCACCAGCGGGTCTCACCAGCCGAATTGAGACGGCGCTCTACGTGTACTGAGTCTGCAAATATACTGAGAACCAGTAATAACACCAAGCACAAAACCGAGAATATCAAGAATACCATAAGCATAGCAAATTTGACGCATTCATCAAGCAAACCAAGCAAGCATTCACCAAGCAAACCAAGCAAGCAATCACCAAGCAAACCAAGCAAGCATTCACCAAGCAAACCAAGCAAGCATTCACCAAGCACACCAAGCCAACACTCTCCAAGCACCCCAAGCATAAGCATTCATCAAGCACATCAAGCAGAAGGATTTCACAAGCAAAGCACAAGCATATCAAGCAAGCGTATCAAGGTATTTTCAAAAACAAGCAAAACAAGTAAGTGATTTTTTACCAAGGTTTTAACGTATCAACTCCTTCACCAAATAATGTCAAGCATGGAAAATCTCCTAGCAAATCAACAACAAATTATCGATGGCATTAATCAAATATTTGTAAATTTTAAGAAAGATAGTCAAGAGCGAAAGACGCCCGACTATATTAATCGAAGATTGAATAATTTAGAAGGGTATTGGCAGGAATTCCTGAATAATCATGTTGAACTGTGCGCTTTTCCAGACAAGTCCCATGCTTATTTTACTAACAATACGTATGAAAAAACCAAGGCAAATTATGAGAATATAACAGCTACAATAAAAGCGTACTTACCGAAGTCGGAACATCAACCAAAACCTTCAACGCCCTTGATAAAACCCACAACTCCGATGGGTGCACCCTCAACTTCGGGAGCTCAACATTCATTTAGAACGGAGTCCCAGGGAACCAACAGCAAGACAGATGAATTATTCAAGAAGCAATCAAGCAACTTCAGAGCATTTAAAAGGACAGTTTCTAACATAAGTCTTGACGATGTGACGGAGAAATGGGAGCTGGAAGATCTCCTCCGCTCTTTGCAGTTGCGATGGTCAGCTATCGACAGTCTGCACTGGGACATCGACAGTGAAGTTCAAGGAGCCAACCAAGAATGTGAGAGCACTTTTTCATATTATGAACAACTATATAATTCCACCAAACGATCCATCAACAGCAAGCTGTGGTCAGTGTCCCATCGGGAAAAATCAACCCCCCAGATGGACATACCTGTTTTTGTAGGAAATTATCATCAGTGGACGTCATTCAAGGACCTGTTCACTGAAACTATCCATAATAACCCATCATTATCAAACGCACAGAAAATGCAATTTCTTAAAGTTAAGGTGCAAGGCGAAGCAGCAAGGCTTTTGCAGCATCTTCCGATCAGCACTGAAAAGTATAATATCTGCTGGGAAATTCTTAACCACAGATACAACAACAAGAAACTCATTTTTACTTCGCACATCAACAGCTTATTGAATATTCCTGTCATACAACAACATCAAGCTATCAACCAGATCAAGCGACTTCATGACACCACTCTGGAGACACTCAACGCTGTGAAAAACTTAGGTGTTGATATCAGTACGTGGAATCCATTGCTGGTGCACTTACTGTCACAAAAATTGGACAATGAAACATTCAATGATTACAATGAATCCCTAGAACAACCACGTGAGTTACCGACGCTCAAAGATTTTTTGGCATTCCTGGAAGGAAAATTTACTACGTTGGAAACATCCCGTAGAAAACAAGAACCAACCACGCAAAAACCATCATCAAGTCAGGTCCCGGTGAAGCATAATAAATCAAGATACCAAGTATTTTCCAACTACAATGTTACAGAACCAACAAATGCAAAAACAAGTAATCAGTTTACAATCACGTGCCCGCTCTGTAACAATGGCCATGGAATATATTTTTGCCAAAAACTTATAGCAATGACGCCGCAGCAGAGACGCAGTACCATATCAAGATTACGGCTGTGCTCAAACTGCCTAAACCATCACCAAGGAAAGTGTATTTCTAAGAATCGCTGCCGCGAATGCCAAGGTCAGCACAACACAATATTGCACGAAGCATTCGTAACATCTAAAAACATGAAACAACCTAGCACATCAAGAACGGTTAACCAGGGAAACTCATCAAGCAGCGCAGATGCTATCCAGTAGAACCAGAACAGTGTGCACGTGTCACAGCAGCGCGACGTGCCAGAGATACTGCTCGCTACAGCTATTGTTCAAGTTCAAGCTAACAATGGCTCTTACTACAAGCTCCGAGCACTCCTGGACCAAGGATCCCAGACCTCAATTATCACGGAGAAAGCAGCTCAACTTCTATCACTACCTAGAAGTCAGTGTAGCATAAAGGAAAACAATTGTAAAGGCGTGATTAAGTTAACAATCAAGTCCAATAATAGCGACTTCACACTTAATACCGAAGCTCTCATAATGAAAACTCTGATCAATACTTTACCAAACTACACCTTGGACAAGCCGTCATGGTCATTCCTAGAAAATATACAGTTAGCAGATCCAGAATTCTACAAAAGTCGGCGTGTAGATATACTTCTGGGAGCAGAAGTATACTCAAACATCATCTTAGACGGAATTTGCAGAGAAAACAAACAACAAACGCGATTTGGTTGGATATTAAGTGGAAGCGCTAATCAGGTTACTTTACAGTGCAATGTTTTTCTGAATAATATACAAAACATCCAACAGTTTTGGGAGATCGAGGACATTACTCAAGAGTCTACTCTCACATCAGAAGATCAAGCATGCATTGATTTGTATAAATCAACAACCACAAGACGCGAGGATGGAAGATACCAAGTGAAACTTCCCCTTAAGTCAAACATTGAACAATACTTGGGCACATCGAAACAAAAAGCAATTGCGCAATTCAAACAATTGGAACGACGATTCACAAAACAAAATAATACCGCAGAACATTATAAATTATTTATTCAAGAATACTTATCATTGGGTCATATGAAACCGGCTACCGGTAACAAGAAACCGGACTTTTATATGCCGCACCATTGTGTCGAGCACCCGGAGTCAACAACTACAAAAATCAGGGTTGTATTCAATGCCTCGGCAAAAACTTCGACAGGGTTGAGCCTTAATGATCTTATGCACAGGGGCCCAAATCTACAACAAGATCTCCAAAAATTAATTTTGGAGTGGCGTCAATACAAATTTGCATACACAGCTGATATAGAAAAAAAGTTTCGCCAAATTTGGCTGAAAGAAGGACACCAACAATACCAAAAAATAATATGGCGAGATGACCCAGAAGAACCATTGCAGGAATACCAACTCACTACAGTCACATATGGCACCAAGACCGCGCCATATTTGGCAATGATGACACTGAAGCAGTTGGCAGATGATAAAGAAAAATACTACACCAAGACTCAAGCAGCTTCAGTTTTACGGAATAGCCTGTATATGGATGATGTAATCCATGGCTGTCATTGCGCTGACCTTGGAAAAAGGTTGAAGGACGACCTCATCAAGCTATTAAAAGCAGGTGGCTTTAATCTCAGGAAGTGGTCATCCAATATTCCAGAATTATGTGAAAATGTCAGTCAAGAAGGGAGTTTTGAGTTTAGAGCTGCTGAATCTACAAAGACCTTAGGGTTGAGATGGAACCCTCAAGAAGATTCCTTCACTTTCCAACCCAAAATTGAAGCTCGTCAGACAAGCGACACCAAGAGAAGCTTATTATCTGACATATCAACCCTTTGGGACCCTCTGGGCTGGATTTCACCATTGACTACCAAGTTGAAGCTACTTTTCCAATCTACGTGGCTATCTAACATCGACTGGAATGATACACTTCCCGATAACATCAATTTGGAGTGGCAGAAAATCAGGGACGATATTCATAACATCGACAAAATTCAAGTAAAAAGATGGCTCAATACAAACGAAACCGATGTTATTGAGTTGCATGGATTTTGCGACTCGTCAACAAAAGCGTACGCTTGCGTAATATACTGCAAAATAACTCGTGGAGACCAAAGTACAGTGGTTTTGGTCGCGGCGAAAACAAGGTTAGTGCCGGTCAGCAAAACTGTAAGTTTAACCTAGACTTGAATTATGCGGCGCAGTTTTGTTAGCAAAATTAATGTTCAAGGTAAAACAGAGTTTAGAAAATTACGAAATCAAGCAATACGGCTGGGTTATTCCACGGCAGTGCTGGGGTAGCTGCAGGGTGATCCGAGCAGGTAGAAAACCTTCGTAGCGAACAGAGTCAAACAAGTTACCGACGTCATTCCAGCACAAGACTGGCGATACGTAAAGTCCCAGGACAACCCAGCGGACTGCGCAAGCAGAGGCCTAACTGCTACACAACTAGTGAATCATTCTCTGTGGTGGCAGGGACCAAGCTGGCTGCCTACTTATCAAGATAAACAAGAAGAAACAAGTTATGATACCAATGAAGAACAAAAGAAGGCAAAGCAGATAAATAATTCGACATACCAAGATCAAGAAATGAATATTTTGGGTCAAATTATCAATAAATACAGTAAGTTCAATAAACTAATCCGCGTCGTAGCCTGGGTATACCGTTTCATAAACACTACAAGAACAAAAATTAAGATGCCATCATACTCGTACTTAACATTAGAAGAAGTCAGAGCAGCAAAGCAAAGAATAATCAAGCATGTTCAGCAAGAAGAGTTTTTGCAAGAGCAAGATAGTAAACTTACACCCTTATTTAGATGAAAAAGGCGTTCTAAGAGTTGGTGGTAGACTGAGAAACGCGCAGATAAGCATGGAAATGAAGCACCCAATCATCATTCCACACGCTAACCATCTTACGGAGTTGATCATAGATGAAGCCCACAGTCTTACATTTCACGGGGGACCAAGATTAACAGCATCATTTATTCGTCAGCAGTATTGGATAGTAGGGGGCAACAGGGCTACTAAGAAGCGCTTACGACAGTGTGTGAGATGCCGACGGTTTGGAACAAGCAAGCAACATCAATTCATGGGTGACCTACCTAGTGCCAGAAGTAACCCATCTCGCCTGTTTTCTCACACAGGATTGGATTATACCGGCTTCATCATGATCAAAGGCAGTAAAGGACGAGGCACCAAGTGTACCAAGGGATATGTAGCGGTTGTTCGTGTGCATGGCAACCAAGGCCGTGCACTTAGAACTAGTATCGGACCTAACGACGTCATCATTCTTAGCGGCTTTGAAAAGGATGGCTGCCAGACGGGGAACGCCAAGTCACATTTATAGTGACAATGGCACCAACTTCGTCGGAGCAAGCAGAGTCCTAACACAAGAATACCAAGAAATTATATCGACCATCAACCAAGATAATCCAGAGTTAATGCAAGAGATCACAGAAATGCACATACAGTGGCATTTTAACGCTCCTTCCTGGCCCTCAGCAGGCAGGTTATGGGAAGCGGCCGTTAAAAGTCTAAAATATCACCTGAAACGCGTCATTGGTGAACAGAGACTGACTTACGAAGAGTTCACCGCCATACTGTACCAACTAGAAGGCTGCTTAAATACAAGACCATTGTGCGCCATGAATGAAGACCCAGACAACCTGGACTATTTGACGCCAGCACACTTCCTAGCAAGTGGACCTGTGTTGACGATATTTGATACAGAGCAAGATCTACGAACAAGATGGTACCTTTGTCAAAAAATGTATAACGACATATGGAAACGATGGCGTTCAGAGTACTTGACCCAACTAAATGTACGCAGTAAGTGGCGAAGGGAACAAAAAAATATCAAGATCAACGACGTCGTGCTCGTCCACGAAGACAACTTACCTCCAGGACGGTGGGCTATGGGGCGCGTCGTCGAACTTCATCCCGGTTCTGATGAGCAAGTGAGAGTGGTCACACTGAAAACCAAGAATGGCTACCTCAAAAGGCCGGTCGTCAAATTATCGCTACTACCTGTAAATCAAGAGTCAGATGGCAGCGATAATAACACAAACAAACCATCATCAATCAAGAACGATCAACAAACAAGAGCGCCTCAATCGGTTAAGAAACCTCAAGTTCATTTCTCGTCGCTTGCGTTGGCTATGCTATTTTTCATGAGCATACTTACCACATCATCATGTTCTTTTCTTAACACACCTCTGAAGTCGAACCAAGGAATATATTTTGACAAAGTCTCTGACATGCAAGTAATTAGAGACGAATGGACCATGGTCGTCTATTATGACATGAGCCCCTACTGGCAAGGGATGAAGACCTTTGAACAATATTCAAATTACTTGCAAGAAACATGCGATAAATTACAAGAAGCCCAATGTAACATTATACTGTGGCAACTACGTCATAGTTACTCCGAGTTCCAGCATTATAATACTATTTTGATGACACAACATTCCCGCACGCGCTCGCGCCGCCGCCGAGGACTGATAAACGGAGTCGGCAGTATCGCGAACTCATTATTTGGAATTTTAGACGAGAATTTTGCTCAAAAATACCAAAAAGACATAACGCTCATCCGTGATAATAAGCAGCATCTGGCAAACTTGTGGCGAAATCAAACCTCTATAGTCGAGGCGGAGTATAACTTACTTAAAAGGAGTGAAGAAGCTATGAACAGGCAGCATAAGTTAATAAACAAACAGATGCTAAATATAGAAAGGGCCGTGAACATATTAAACTCAGAGGTTGTCAACATGTCTCAAGTGAATCAATTAACTTTGGCAGCCGTAGCTGCAAGCAATATGATACAGGAACTACGAAACATGCAAGAATCATTGCTAGACACGATCACAGATATTTACAACGGGAGATTTAATTTCCATCTATTATCTCCAGAACAGCTTAGAAATGAACTCGGTATCATAGCAAGCTAAATATCGAAGGAGTTGGCCTTACCAATCGAAAACATACAAGCAAGCCTTCAAAGTATGTATCAACTTTTAACAATAAAGGCCGGAATATGTGAAGATTACCTGCTGTTCGAGATAAAGGTTCCGCTCATCAGTAGAGATTCCTTCGAAATATTTCATCTTATTCCAGTACCGACGAAGATTAATAACAGCAAGATGGTTACCACGATACCAATATCGGAATACGTGGCCATTAACCTAGCAAAGGATGCGTACATTGTGATGGATATAGATGAAATTTCATCATGCAGTCAGCAAGCTAACTCGTATTTATGTCACTTAAAGAAACCAGTTTACCATCTCACGAGAAATTCGTGACTTCGTTCGTTCGTTCATTCGTGAAGATTCGTGACGTGAAAAAGTGACTTCGATAATATTAAACAGCAGTGTAAAATTGTTGTGGACTCCTGCAATTACAAATGGACTGAATTAAACAATATAAACAAGTACTTATACTTTTGTTGTGAGAGGTGTCAGTTACGAGTGATGTGTGCGGATCAGGTGACCGTGCCACAGCTGGAGCGCGCCGGCATCGTCAGCATTTCACACGGGTGCATTGTCAAGTCCGACCTATTTACGGTGCACGCTCGTAACCTTGACCGCAGCGTTATCAAGACGAGCCCAGACATCAAGGTTGAAGACTTCAGTCCGATAAACAATATCATCAACGCATCGATCCCGATGTCGTCTATAGTAGATGAAACCATAAATGACCGCCAAAAACAATTTTCGGATTTAGAAAAACAGCTAAAAGATTTGAAAGAGCAGGCGGTGTTGACAAGTGATGTATCATAACATGATGTGCATCATTATGCTCTCATCTACATTATGATCGGAGAAGCAATTATCGTGGGTGCTGGCCTGGCGTGGCGGCGAATGCGACAAACACGGTTAGCAAGAGCCAACTCTCTGGCAGTGCCCCCGGCGGAGGACCGCACCGCGGTTCGTCTCTCCTCCGTCCGAAACAGCATTTGTGAAGAAGAAACGACCAATCGTAGTGATCCTGTTACCAATAAACTAGACAGTGTTCGAATTATAAACAGGTCTACGTCGCCCATAGCAACTCATACATCTTTTTTCAAGCAATCATGATCAGCATCCCGCCCTCATCTGGCGGCCCGGAGCATGTACGGTGCAACACCGTGCATTCTCCCGCGTCAGCATTTTAGTAATTTGACACTATGCGCGACTGACCTCATTCATTAATATTTTATTTTTGAGTGTGTTTGTGTTTGCCTACCAACACGGTCGCGTGCCTCAATCTTATATTTTTACCAAGTTTCGTGTATTGTGAAATCGCAATAAATCATTGTTTTTCTCAAGATCGTGTTTAAATCATTCATCATCAGATCAAGTAAAAGGTGTGTGGTATACCAAGACCAAACACTTTATCATTCAGAATACAGCCATTTTCGTCTCGTATCACATTAAATCTAGGCTGTTTTGAATGTCCCCTGGTATTTCTTACGAGTTTCCAGAATATTTTAATATTTGCCTCGAAGTTATCCGATATTCTTTTATCATTCTTATCCGTTCTTTCTTGCTTTTTCCTTTTAACTAATTATTTTACTCTTTTAATTAAACGTTTAAACTCTGCCTTTTTTCTTTCAATCTCATCATGGTACCGCCAGAATTACCAGCTTTGGTCGCTAGTAAATCTAGCCATGCTCTCTTCTTTGCTTCAACTTCCATACGTACCTCATCATCCCATCATAACGTATTGTCTTTCCTTTCATTCGTTCTCTTACTAACACCACATACTTCGGTAGCTGCATCCACTAAACCTTTCTTAACATTATGCCACACATTCTCCAAGTCTAACTCATTCACACACAAATCATCCAAATCACTTATATTTTCTCTCAGTCTACATTTGTACTTG